TACCTGACAGGAGGTTTGGCCATTTGGTTCTCATCAGTGGTTCTTCCAGGTATATGCACATTTACCCATAAAGTGTGCTTTATTTTACATTAAAATGCAGGTGTCAATATTTAAAGACATTAACACATTCAACTTGAGGTAGCCACTTGCACTGCCTTGCCATTTTTATGCAATGGATCACTAAAATATATGCATTCAGAGTATTGTGTCCTGACTCTCACCCCCAAATAATTAACATTTAGTTTTCATTTATTGTGTTTTGCTTTTCACAATAAAGCACATATTGTAAAGATATGACACTGTATTTAATTTTCATAAAGACTTCAGTGTAAAAATACGTTCATAAATATTGCTGGAAATGTTGAATTCCATTCATTTCAAAGTGACAGGTTTATTACTTTGACAACATATATTCATTAAGTCCCTGGAAGAATTTAAATAAGGTATATACTGTTTCCAACTTGGCAGTGGGCTGGCATACTTTTCCCTCATTACCAAAGTGTCATAGTAGGAAGTCCATTTCCACTGTCTTGAGATTTGCTTTCCCTATCATCTGTTGGGCCTTCCCTACAAATGTTGTGAAGAATTGAAAGTTAGTTGCACAATCTCTTGAACTTCATAGAAATGCAATTATTGGGTTGTCGGAAAAGTCATGACGCATGTTTGCGACAGATGGCACTAGTTCATTTTTGGAAGTACTAGAGTAATTTGCATCTATGTTGTTGCCATGTCATTTGACAGCTGACAGTTCTAGCTTTATTCTAAAAAAAAAAACAAAAAAAAACAACTGAGCGATTTGGTTGAGTTGTGGAGATTTTACAAGTTGAAGATGGAAGACCCAAACTGTGCAATTTTGCCATATTTTACTGTTTTACTTCCATAAAGAGAAGAACCCACATCAAGTTTGTGAAAAGTTGCCTAAAGTTTACAGTGACAATGCTCTACAAGAACATCAGTGCCAACAATGGTTCACGAAATTCCATGCTGGTGACTTTGATCTCAATGATGCTCCTCGGTCAGGGAGGCCCCCGAGGTTGATGATGAGAAAACAAAGGCATTGATTGAGTCAAACACATGTTATACAACACGAGAGATTGCAGACACATTGAACATCCATCATGTAGGCGTTCACAACCACCTGAAGAAGCTATGTAAGGAAGTTTGGTATTTGGGTTCCACATGAACTCAAAGAAGTTCATTTGACAGCATATAGAAACATCTGCAATATTATTATTAAACATGAGGAAAACGATCCTTTTTTGAAGCGAGTGATAACTGGTGATGAGAAGTGGATTTTTTACAACAATGTGGTGCACAGTCTTGGTCCCGACATGATGATTCGCCTCAAAGGACATCGAAAGCACACATTCATCAGAGGAAGGTTATGCTCTCAGTGTGGTGGGATTTTAAAGGTGTCGTGTTTTTTGAGCTCCTACCAAGGAACCAAACAATCAATTCGAATGTGTACTGTTGGCAATTGGACAGTCTGAATGAATTCATCATCCAGAAATGTTCAGAGCTTGTTAATTGCAAAGGAGTTGTGTTCCATCGCAACAACGCGAGACCACACACAAGTTTGATCACCTGTCAAAAATTACTGGAGCTTGGATGAGATGTATTGCCACACCCACCATACTTGCCTGATCTTGTGCCGTCAGACTTCCACTTGTCTAGCTCTCTTCAAAACTCCTTGTGTGGTATAACATTCAATTCAGATGAGGCTGTAAATCAGCACATTGTTTAGTTTTTCACAAATAAAGAGAGGTCCTTTTATGAACAAGGAATTATGAAGCTCACTGAAAGATGGTAAAAGGTTATCGAACAAAATGGGCAATATATCATTGAATGATCTTTGTTCTTTATATAAATAAATAACCTTTGAAAAACAGAAAATACGTCATGACTTTTTCGACAACCCAATATCTAGTATGTGTTCTTTTGGGAATGGTATTTTTTTTTCTACTTAATATAATATACGTGAGATCATCTAGGTTGTTGCATGTATCAGCAGTTCCTTCTTTTTTCATTGTTATACAGTGTTTCATTGTATATGTCACAATTTATTTATTTATTGTCTTGTCAATGAACGTTTGGGTTGTTTCCAGTTTTAGAACTATTACGAGTAATGCTGAAATGAGTATTCTCTTCTTCATGGGCCGTTTACACTCATGTTTTATAATCATTTCTCTTGGGCTCATGAATCTCCAGGACATAGAGTTCAAGTATATTTAGCTTTAATAAATGCAGCCAAACAGTTTTCTAAAGTAGTTGTACTGATTTCCACTCCCACAAGCAATGTAGGGGAGCTCTCCCTGCCCCACATCCTCGTCTGCCCTTAGTGCTGTCAGCTCTTTCAGTTGTAGCCATTTAATAGCATCTCATTGTGGTTTTACTTTGCATCCCCTGATTACTTATGATGTTAAATACTCTTTTATATGCTGGTAGACAATTTGGATATTCTCTTTTGTGACGTGCTTAATTTATTTTGCGCACTTTCAAAATAGGGTTTTCAATCTTTTTTTTATTGATTATTGTGAGTTCTTTGTATATTCTGAATATGATACTTCATGGATGTATGTGTTGCAATAGCCTGTGGCTTGCCTTTTCACCCTTTTAATGTTATCTTTCAGTTAATAAAGTTTTAATTTTAATAAAGTCCAATTTACCAAACTTTTATAATTAGTGGTATCCCTTGCGAGAAATCTTTGCTACCCCAAATTAATGAAGAATTGATGTTTGTCTGTATCTGTAGTCCTTCATTGTTTTACCCTTCAAATTTAGGTCTAACATTATTTCTAATTCATTTCTGTGCATTCTGTGCATGGTGTGAAGTAAGGGTCAAGGTTCAGTGTTTTTCCCCTATGGAGATCCAGTTGACCCCAGATCATGTATTATTGAAAGACCATCCTTTTCCCACTGAATATCAGTGGACCTTTTGTAGTAAATGAGACCATATATTCACAGGTCTGTTTCTGGACTCTACTCTATTTCATTGATCTGTTTATCTATATGTGCACCAACAAATACCACATTATAACATTCCTGATACCTGCTTAAGTTTTCCAGCTTGTTCTTCAATTTTGCCTTAGAAATTTTAGTTTTTTTGTAATTCCATATAAATTTGAGGATCACCTTGTAAGTTTATACACACACACACACACACACACACACAATCACACACAATTAGGATTTAAATTGGTATTGTGCTGAATCTAGAGATACATTGACAATTGACATCCTAACATTATTGAGTCTTTCAATCTAAATATTTGGTTTATCCCTTCAGTTATGTAGGAATTTAATGTCTCTCAGCAATGTTCTCTAGTTTTCAGTGCAGAGATCTTGATGGGATGCTTGGTTTTTATAAAAATGACTATGAATTCAGATTTAAAAATGGTAATGTTTACAAAATGTCCAATTTTACTATCATTTATGACCTGCAGTTATGTTAAGATTGCTGAGATAGAAATTTCCAAAGTAGCTAAGTAATCTCTAAAATTATGCAGTGCTATAATTTAATTTATATGTATTAAAGCTTTTAAATTTGATTAAGGCATAGCACTATTTAGAATCTGATTTATTCTTCTGGTTGAATATATTAAGATGCTTCCCTGTCAACACCCCTGAATTCTGTGATATATTTGTGAAAGAAAAGGGCTGAGGAGCTCAGCAGTTAAACTGGAGAAGCAGTAGTTTTCACTTTCCATACAGCAGGAGATCAATTTGATTTAAAGCAGTTCATCTCTCTTCTGTATTAAATATTTTTAGTTCATTCAACCCAAACATGAATTTTAGACATGGAGAATTAAGGTTGTGATTGCATGATGTCAAAATATTTATTTAGTTTAGTTTAAGAAGATCTCCCCAATTGTACAGTTACCTGGGCATATTCTAAAAATCAGCTGCAATTTTGTCTGAATTTCTGAATTGACTATGACATTTCCAGAATCTACCTAAGTCAGATTTAAACATACTCCAAGTAATAAAAAAAAATAGTGTATGCATGTACATTGCTGTATGAGTATATTATGTAGTATTGAATATGTAAATTCACTCAGTGGAGACAAACCTTATCTTTTATTTCTTCGAGTATTGTTGTATTGTTGTCTTAGCATATAATACCTTCTCAATGATTTTATCTCTTTTTTTTTTGCCTTTTAGTTTTATTGTAATAACTTTTATCTATGTTGCTATCTTAGTTAGTTCAGGCTGCTCTAACAAGAATACCATAGGCTGGGTGGCTTAACCTTCCAACATTTATTTCACACATTTCCGGAGGCTGGGAAATCCAAGTTCAGGGTGCTAGCATGGAGAAGTTCTGGCGAGGGCCCTATCTGGTTTCCTTACATAGCAGACTGAGAGAAGGAGCTTCTGTTTCTCCATCCCCTTATAAGAACATCAATTCCATTATGGGGTCTCTACCTCTATGACCTCATCCAAAACTAATTACTTCCCAAGGCCCCACCTCCAAATATGATCACATTGTGGATTAAGGCTTCAACATATTAATTTTTGGGGAGGGTCACAATCAATCCATAGCAGTCCCCTTCTGTTTTAAAGTTTAATATCACCTGATACCAAAATCTAAATTAAGGTTATGTTAATATAATAGTAGTTCACTTGTTTTAATATTGGAATATAATTTGACTATGAAAATTTAACCTTGCCAAAGCTAGCTAATTTCCTAATGTCCAGTACATAGAAACAATAGCAACAATTAGAATGTTCAAATAATAGTAATAATAGTAATAATAGCTAACATTAACAGGCATTCACTGTATCCAGGCACTGTTCTGAGCATTTCACATACATATAACTATGTAATCTTTACAAACACACTATTAGATGAATACTGTATTTATCCTCATTTTACAGAAATTTAATAGAACAGTTTAATTTATTTTCATTTTTAAGTTTCTGATTGTATTGTGTGATTTAAATTTATTTGAAAAAAGTGATAGAAAATGTAATGCAAATCCTCAATACTTTTTTTTTAATAGAAAAGCAATGTCCTATACTGAGAACAGAGGGACATCAGTTTATACAAGACAACAGAGATAAACTTGAAGTTTCAGGTAAGCATTATAATCCTTTACAAAGAAGCATTTTGTGTAAAATTATCACCAAACGTGATATATTGTAGGCAATTCCTTGACATGGTAATTTAAGATGGTAACATCAATATAAAAAATTAAAGGTAAATGAATTGTATACATTGTAGAAATTTTGAAAAAAATAAAGAAAATTTATGAGTAAGACGATCTCACTACCCAAATAGAGTTATGAGTCCCATTTTAGCATATCATTCCTATCTTTAACTTTCTTCCTTTCATCCTTCATTCACTCTCATTCTCTCTGCTGGCTTACACACACACACATGCACAGAATCATTATATATATGTAGTATTTGAAATCCAAGCATTTCCCCACATCAACACATATTCTTCTAAAATTGTAATATTTTTTACTTAACCAGTTTTCTGTCTTTAGCCATCAGAGCTGCTACAATGAACTATTCTGATTATTTACTTAGGATAATTCCTTAGGTCAAAGAAAATTAATATTGGAATCTTTTGAAACCATATTTTATCCTCCTATATCCTAAAAGAAGAAAAATGAGGGTGAAGAATTTTGCTGTTCCCAAACAGCAGGATTGTATTTGAAATAAATCAGTCTATAGCTAAGGACAACAAAAAGTTCTATTTAAAAGTCAAGATCTACATAAACTTACTAATTTAATAAAACTGCTTGGATTAAATCATTTGTCACATTTTACAGGTTTTGACTTAGGAGAGAGCTTTTCTTTGAGACATGCATTTTGTGAAGGGGATAAAACCTGTTTCAAATTGGGAAGTGCACTTCTTATTAGAGATACCATGTAAGTAAAATCATTTTTCTTTACACTTTAACTATTTAAATTAAGTGTTTACATTAACTATTTTCTTGAATGCTGTGGTAAATGCTCTTTTTGTATACTTGCTGTTTTTAATAATCTCTGCAAATTGATCTTGCTCTATGGTATAAATACCATTTACATGTATAGATAGGTGCATAATCCTTAGAGAGTAGTATTAAATTTGTTTTTGAATAAATGTTATTTTTGTTTAAAGTAGACATGACGAAAATTATATTTTAAAGTGTAAACTTTAAAAGTAAGGCATAATGTAGACTTACAGACAAAAGGCTGTTATTCATTGTATATAATTCTACATGTTATGTGCATGTAGAAAAGCTACATGATAAAATAAAAGAACTTAGGCCTTAGGTATTCATACTATATTTTGTATAGAGTAAAGAGTAGAGAAAAACAATTTTTTTCAGTTTTATTGTTGCTGTTGATACTCATTTCATTTCAAAACGGATTTACCAAAGGTTTCCTTTGTTCTCTTTACTATTCTTTTTCTACTGATGAACCTGGGATTAAAAACAGAATCACTCGCCATTTAAATACTGACAACTGGTCAGCAACTATACAGGGCAATAATAATTCCCCATATGCTTGGCTATATGTAACTGGAGGATGGGTTAATAGTAATTAAGAAAGCTTGAGTCATCAGGAAGGCAGAAATAGCATATATAGTCAGGATATTTAGTCTTGAGTCTTAGATAAACATTCCAGTGTATGAATTCACTGCAATAAAGAAAGCGTCACAATTCTGTTTGGTTTGAAATGCAACACAGAGCTAGTCTGCATCAATCAGAAGAATGTCAGACTCCGGGGCAGCCAATCCTGCCTTACAACCCGTGGAAGGTTTTTACAGCAGCAGATGGCCAATGGCGGCCTGGGAAACTTTCAGTGGTGGACAGTCAGCCACAACTTGTGCTGCAGCCTCTCTTGGGTGGCTCTCGGGACAATGAGGTCCTAAGGCGAGTGGTGGCTGGCCACAGGGTTCTCAGGGTGTTTTGAGAAGTGGTCACAGGTCCAGCTATGGTGCAAGCACTGAATCTGTCTTAACTTTAAAAATCACTGGCCATTTGCTACAACGTGGATGGATCTTGAGATAATTATGCTAAGGGAAATAAGTTAGACAGAAAAAGTTGAGAACCATGTGACTTCACTTGTATGTGGGGTATAAAACTGAAAACAACAAATGAACAAGATAACAAAAAAAGAAACAAAAACTCATTGACACAGGCAACAGTTTAGTGGTTACCAGAGGGTAAGTGGGGAGGAGGGTGGTAGATGAGGGTAAACAGGATAAAATATTTGGTGATGAAAGGAGAACTGACTCTGGGTGGTGAACACACAATGTGATATATAGATGATGCATTACAGAACTGTACACACAGAATGTATGTAACTTTACTAACCATTGTCACCCCAATAAACTTAAAAAAAACAAAAATCAGCCACCCCTTGTGGCTTCCTGGGATGCTGCCCTGCCTAGCTAGGGCTTCATTGCCCAAGACACCACAACACTGGGTCAAACAGCCCAGCTCACGCAACTAAGGAGGCTCTTGCAATGGCTGAACCTTATAGGCAGCTGGCAGGTGGCAACAGGCCTAGGGGTCCCTGGGCTTTTTCCTAAGCTGCCCCAGGCCCATTACTGGTGGCAGCCAGCCTTGGCCACCCCCACATGCCTAGACGTCCAGCACAGGCAGTAACCAACTACATATAGCATTGTAGCCCCTACCCGATAGCCCAGGCATGATCACAGGCAAGGCTGAAATTGGTCTGCATGGGAGCCCCTCCCAAGAGACACCAAAACAACACACCCAGAGTCCGGCTTCAGAACATACTAGAGTACTACCTGGTCAGCCCCAAAGGCAGCACATCCAAAGGGTGGTTTCAACAGGCAAAAGAGCTGTCTGGGTCGAAGCCTTCTATGAGGGGCCAGCCCCCACACAGCAGCTCATACACTGTGAGTGTAGCCAGTTCTCACAGCCAGTCAGCCTGAGAGTCAATCCCACCCACTGATGTGCCTAAAGTAATCATGGTTCAATTACAACATGAGAATACACACGACACAAACACACAAACAAGGGACACTCCCGCAACATACACAGGTGATCAGGGAGACTGTGCCACGGTACCACCGAGGATACGTACTACATAAAGCCACCTGGCAAAGACTGAGAGACATAGGAGATCTGCTTAACACATAGAAGCAAACACAGGGAGGCAGCCAGAATGAGGAAACAAAGAAACATGTTCCAAATAAAAGAACAGGAAAAACCTCCAGAAATGGAACTAAATGAAATGGAGGCAACCAACCTACCAGAGACAGTTTAAAACAGTGATTATAAGAATGCTTTAAGAATGCAGTGAGAGCTTCAACAAAGAGATAGTAAACATAAAGAAGGAACAACAAAAACAAAAAAATAATAAAAAACAAACATAGTTTAAGGGGACTTTTGGGACATCAAGTGTAACAACATTTGCGTCATAGGAGTATCAGAAGAAGAGAGAGAGCAAGGGATCAAGAAACTATTTGAAGAAGAAATAATGACTGAAGACTTCCCTAACCTGGTGTAGGAAGTACAGAGAGTCCCAAACACGAGTACACAATGGTAAAGGTTAAAGACAAAAAATCCTAAAAGCAGCAAGAGAAAGACAAGTTATTTACAAGGAAGCTCCCATAAGACAGTCAGCTGATTTCTCAACAGAAACTTTGCAAGCCAGAAGGGATTGGCAGGAAATATTCAGTGATGAAAAACAAGGGCCCACAACCAAGACTGCACTACTCAGCAAGTCTATCATTTAAGAGTAAAAGCTTGCCAGACAGGAAAAAGCTGAAGGACTTCATTACCACCAAGTCAGCATTAAAAGAAACATTAAAAGGACTTCTTTAAGAAGAAGGGGGAAACAAACAAACAAAAGAAGATCAAAAATATCAATAATGAAATGGCAAAACTATGTACCCATCAATGATCAGTTTAAAGGTAAATAGATTAAATGTTCCAATCAAAAGACATAGTGTAGCTGAATAGATAAGAAAACAAGACCTGTGCATATACTGTCTGCAAGAGACCCATCTCCAACTGAAAGACACACATAGACTGAAAGTAAAGAGATATTTTACCCAAATGGGAATTAGAAAAAAACTGGAGTAGCCATACTTATATCAGACAAAATAAACTTTAAAACAAAGACTATTTAGACTTTAAAACAAAGACTATTATAACTGACAAAGAAGGACATTGCATAATGATAAAGGGATAAACCCAACAAGATGACATAACCCTAGCAACATCTGTGTACCCAACATAGGATCACCTAAATATATAAAACAAATATTGACCAACATAAAAACAGAGATTGACAGTAACATAATCATAGTAGGGAACTTTAACACCACACTGACACCATAGGACAGATCTTCCAAACAGAAAATTAAAAAGGAAACAGTAGCCTTAAAAGACACCCTACACCAGCTGGATTTAATTGACATTTTTTAGAGCATTTCACCACAAAGCAGCAGAATATACATTCTTTTCAAGTACACATGGAACATTTTCCATAATAGACCACATGTTAAGCCAAAAAACAAGTCTCAATAAGTTGAAGAAGATTGAAATCATATCGAGTGTCTTCTCTCACCACAATAGTGTGAAACTAGAAATCAATTACAAGAAAAAAACTGAAAAACACATAAACACATGGAGGCTAAATATCATGCTACTATATAATGAATAGGTCAACAATTAGATAAAAGGAGTAATCAAAAGATACCTGAGACAAATAAAAATGAAAACACAACAACCCAAAATATATGGGACACAGAGAAAGCAGTCTTAACAGGAAAATTCATTGCAAATGCAGGCCTACTTCAAAAACCAAGGAAAATCTCAAATAAATAGTCTAACTTTACACTTAAGGGAACTGAAAAAAGAACAGCAAACAAAGCCCAAAGTCTGTACAAGGAAGGAAATAATAAAGGCCAGAGCAGAAAAAAACAAAATAGAGGCTAAAAAATCAATACAAAAGTCAATGAAACCAAGAGCTGGGTTTTTGAAAAGATAAACAAAATTGACAAATCTTTAATGAGACTCATCAAGAAAGAAAAATAGAGGACCCAAATATATAAAATCAGAAAAGAAAAAGAAGTGACAACGGACACCACAGGAAAAAAAAATACTACGAGGAGCTATATGCCAACAAATTGGACAATCTGGAAGAAATAGGTAAATTTCTAGTAGCATACAATCTTCCAAGGCTGAATCAAGAAAAAACAGGTAATCTGAACCAACCGATTACTACTAATGAAATCAGTCAGTAATCAATAAGCTCCCAACAAACAAAAGTCCTGGACCAGATAGCTTCACAGGTGAATTTTCCAGCATTCAAAAAAGAATTAACACCTATCCTTCTCAAACTATTCCAAAAAATTCAAGAGGAGGGAAGTCTCCCAATGCATTTTACAAAGCCACTGTTACCTGATCCCAAAGCTATATAAAGACATTCCAAAAAAGAAAACTATAGGCCAATATCCCTAATGAAAATAGATGCAAAAATCCTCAAAAAATATTATCAAATCTAATTCAGCAATATATTAAAAAGATCATACACCATAATCAAGTGGGATTCATTTCTGGTGTGCAAGATTGACTCAATATTTTCAAATTGTTTAATGTGATACATCACATAAACAAAATGAAAAATAAAAATCATACAGTAATATAAATAGATGCAGAAAAAGTGTTTGACAAAAATCCAGTATCCATGTATTATAAAAACTCTCAGCAAAGTGGGAATAGAAGGAGTATATCCCAACATAATAAAACCACATATGACAAACCCATAGCTAATGTCATACTCAGTGGGGAAAAGCTAGAAGTATTCTTCTTAAAGTCAGGAACGAGGCAAGACGTCCACTTTCACCACTTTTATTCAACATAGTACTAGAAGTCCTAGCTACAGCAGACAGACAAAAAAAT